CAAGTGGAGGGAGAGGTTGAGGGTCTCACCGTGTTGTATGTAAACTCCTACTTAACCCCTGCTTTCCTCATGCTGCACCCACCCTCAGCTATGCTGTGTTTGCCCACCCAGAGACTCTGTTCCCTCCTCTCCGGAGAATACACCGCCTTTCTTCAGAGAGGGGCGGGGAGTTGGGGCTGCTCCAGGGAGGAGGGAGCCAGGGTTAAGTGTGCTGCTTTGCAGCTCCACCTTCCCGTCCTCTCCCAGGGTAGCTGGTGCCTGCACTTCTGGCTTTTTGTTTGTGCTCTTTGTTTTCTTCTGACATCAACCACCATAAATTGCTTTCATAACTAGAAAAATACCCTCACATCTTTATTTAAACTTCCTATCTTTTGACCCAGTGATTTCCCTTCTTGGGACTTCCAAATGCAAGTTTGGAAAGCATCATGCACAGCATCTCCATCGCAGTGCAATTTGTTATAAAGGATAACTATTTGCAAACAATCTAAAAATCCAACAGTCGTGGTGACGTCGATAATGGTCAAGCCACACGATAAAGCCACTTGCTGAGGTTTCCAGAGGGATGCTGAGGTTTGTAGAAGGATCTCGTGACACGAGGGAAAGAAGGCTAATGATGTAATGTGAAATGAAAATGAACAGCAGAGGGTAGCACTGCAGGCTCGCTGCCATGGCGCTGGCTCTCAGCTCCTGGTGACCCGATGTGTTAGAGTAAGGACTGCTCCACCGGTGTTCTTGGCTCTCGTGCGTTTAGGGACACCTTGCCAGCTCTTTCTTCTGTGGTGCCGCTGGGTGTGGTGGAGGGCCGCCAATTGCAAAACACTTGCGCCTCACTGGTCCTTAGGTTTCTACCGACTCAGGTTTCATTAGAAAAATGTGTGGGAGAAGGCTGGAGGGAATCTCCCCTACATGATCATGTATAAACTTTATAATCTGTATCTATCTATCTAAAAGTGAAGTAAATAAAAAATATGTCATCCTAGGTTGTATTAGTAGGAGTATACGTTTGGGGTTGATAGTGAAATAGTTGTGGCTGACTTGACTTTAATTCATGGTGACTTTAGGTACAGAAAAACACAATGCTGCCCAGAGCTGCCTGCACTACCATCACCACCACCACCACCATCACCACCACCACCACCATCACCAATCACCATTACCATCACCAATCACCATTACCATCACCACCATCACCACCAGCAGCAGCAGCCTCACCACTACCACCATCACCATAACCATCACTACTACCATCACCATAACCATCACTGCTGCCACCATTCCCACTCCCCTTGCCACCGCCACTGCCACCACCATCACCACCATCACCAGTACCAGCACTATCACCACCACTGTCACCACCATCACCATCACCATCACTAGCATGTTTGAGTCCATTGCAGGCGCTATGTGCCAATACATCTCACCAAGAGTCTCCCTTGCCCCTGTTAGCCATATTTTAGGGTAAGAGAGGTAACCATCTGGATTCTGATCACCTGGATTATTATATCTAGCACTAATGTGTATTGGGATATATTCACTCACTCACTCACTTGCTCACTCATTCACTCGCTGCCATCGAATCAACTCCAACTCATAGAGACTCACAGATCAGGGGAGAACTGCTCCTGTGGATTCCTGAGACAGTAACTTTATGGGAGCAGAAAGCCTTGTCTTTCTCCTAAACAGCAGCTGCTGGTTTCAAACTGTTGACCTTGCAGTTAGTAGCCCAATGTGTAAACCCACTCTGCTACCAAGGGCTTCTCCTAAAGATATATTAGGTTGCTTCAAGAAGCCCCAGGAAAAATAGAATTAAAGGAGTCTTCTCACACACTTTTTGAAGTCACCTTGTATGTTAAGGAAAGGAGGCAAACGATAGTCTGGCCAGAGATCAGGGACCCCTGGAGGTCTGGGAGAAGAGCTTAGGGCTGGGCCTGGTGGCTTTGTGCATTTGGCCATAGTGCTTGTAAGGGAGGACAGAGCACCTGAGCCTGTTCAGCCTTTGGGGCCAGAGCCAGGGCTGGTGGGCGGGAGTTTTAAGATGGAGAACAGGGTTCTGACAATTCTGCAGTGGCTGCCTCTTCCTGCAAACTGTAAGGGTCCACGCAGGGTGTTGAGGAGAGGAGGCGCTGGAGGTCAGTAGTCATGAGTCAGCAAGTTGGACTGGGATGAAGCTCTGACAGCATCCGGCCTGTCACCCCTGCTTTGTTTATGTGTCGCCCATGATGTTCAGACTCGTATGCTCCCTTTGGGTGCAAGCAAAAGCCGTGAGTTCACATAGCGGGAAATGAGCTCATTATAGAAATAAGCATCGGTCTCTCTTGATTTGTGAGACATAGTACATCCATCAGGAGGTTCAGGCCAATGGTTTGTGACATGTTACCCCATGAAAAACTCTTCATGCATGCTTGCCACCTCGTTTTCTTCCATCCAGTCCTTCAGGTGACAAGGGGGAAACGGAGTCCTATGCTAGACCACGGCTCTTCCTATGACAGGGAACTGCTGGTCGTCCATGGGAGTGTGATGGCGGTGAGAGGTGGGCTGGTGGGAAGAACAAGTCAACAGGAAGTTGGTGAGAGATGACTCTGTGACCTCCCATCCGGGCCACATCACCAAGGGGTGGCAGTATTTCAGCCTTCCAGCACCAGTGTCTGGAGGGGAGTTACATTGGGGAGTGGGTGATGTTTATAACCACTTCAGAAGTTGTCCCCCCATCGTACTGTCCCACCCCAACCTATATGGCCCATCCCCAGTACACGCTTAACCCTCCCTCACCCTTAACCCCCACCTTTGTCCTTGTGTCTGCACGCTCACCCGTCTAGGGCCCGGCATCAGTCTCAGTGAAGGTCCAGGTTTCAACCCTCAGCCTGACTCCAGCCCCAACACCAGGCTCAGAGCTGGTGAGTTTTGGGGCAGAGGAAGGACGCCCCCCTCACTTAACCTTTCTTCTGGATTTCCAAACGAGACAGGTGAAGACCACCAGACACAGGCTCTCGGGGCCCTGAGGTGGGGCCGACTGTGACCCCCAGCCACTGGCTCCTCACCCTGGCTAAGGGAGAAGCCTGCCAGAGTCATGCTCTCCCACTGCGGGAACAGCCTTATTTGTGCCCAGCTAATTCCATCGCTTATTTCATAACCAAAGCCAATGCTGAAGGAGGCCCATGGGTGTATAAAAGGGTCTCCCCAGGAATACCTAAGCACCTGTGCGAGGAGGTGAGTTAGGCAAGTGGGAAGCAGAGTTAGAAGTCATTGTTTCAGGGTGGTTTGGGGAGTCCGGGAGGGCTTCCTGGAGGAGGTAGAAGCTAAGTTAGCTTTACTGGAGGGGGCAGACAGACATTTCTATGATTACTATGAACCAGATACATTCATACACTTCTAAAATATTTTTCCACCCCTCGCCCCACTCTCATGTGAAGCAGTCAATGCTATTTTACAGATGAGGAGACTGAGACAAAGAAGAAATGATCCGCTGAAGACCACGTGCTTTGTGCAGGGTGGAAGCAGTATTTCCATTTCGGATCCTCCAATGCCAAAGCTCCTTGGGCTCTTTCCTCTGCCCTTTCCAGAGTGTGTGGTGTTTACAGGGCTGGCGGGGTTGGGAGTATGTGTGTGTGTGTGTGTGTGTGTGTGGTGGTGGTGGGGCACTCCAGGCTGGCAAAGGGTGAATGTGGGGAACAGCGAGGTGGCTGCCTGGTTGGGTCAGTGGGAATGGAGGCTGGAAGCATGAAAGGCCTTAACTTCTCTGGCTGAGCCTTCGGACCTGATGGGGAAGCAGTGAGGGAGGGAGGGAGAACGGGAATTCTGGGGGTGGCATATGCAGCTGGTTCTTTGGAGGTCTGTCCTGTCTTTTGGGGCGGGTCAAGTTGTCAACCTGCTGCAGTGACATTGTGGCTCACAGGAGACTGACAGCTGTCCCCTCCTCCAACTCAGATCCAAGATCCTCCAGGGAGGGGCAGACAACTAGCTCACCCTCTGGGCACCACTATTTGGGCGCTCTCCCTTACCTGGGCCACTATTCCACCTGGAAGACCATCTTGATCACCACTGGGCTCGTTCACCTGCATCCTAGATGGCCCAGCAGGCCCTGAGCATCCCTTAACTCTGGCCACTCCTTCCTCTAGTCCAGGGCTTTGCAGATCTCTTTGCTGGGATACTCACTATCCTCCACCCCTCCCTGGCCAATTTCCATCCCACCTTTGAGGACCAATTCAAGTCTAATTTTAGGCAACATTCTCTTTCTCCCCCAGACTCCCTCTCCACTTCTCTATAAGACAGTTTTAAGTCTATAAGTCCATTCCAAATAACTCACCCCTTGCGTGTTGGATTAGAGCTGTGCTCACAGGGTTTCCAGAGGTTGATTTTTCGGAAGTTGATTGCCACGCCTTCTTCTGAACACCCTCCGGGTGGACTTGAACCGCCCACCTTTGGGTTAGCAGCCGAAGGCATGAACTATTTGCACCATCCAGGTGCCACCGTTCTGAGTTCTGAGTGTATGGGAAGGAGGCACAAGGCTGGCCCTCTGAGGTGCTTTTTCTGCAGGGCAGGCCAAGAAGCACAAAGATAGGAAGAGAGTAATGTGAATGCCCTCTTTTGAAATACCCAAGGTTCAGGATGTGGTGGGGTAGGGGTGCAGGGCCTATTTAAACAGGGCTGTGGAGGATATGGGCAGCGGCTGGCAGGTTGAGCACATTTCAGGGGCAGCACGGTTGGTCCTAGACAGGCCTGGGTCAGCCTGGGGAAGGTGCTGCCTTGGCCAGCAAGGAGGAAGAGACTCGATTGGTGCTTGAAACGCTCCCAAAGACAGAGGGTGTGGGACTCAGGACCGCATAGAGGCGGAACGTAAGCCTTTGAGAGTTGAAGGTGCTGGCTGGAGCTGGGGTGGCAGAGGCTGAAGAGATTATGCAGGACCAAAAAGAAAAGAAAGCCTGGGCAATATAACTGCCCCCCACCCCCACCCCCGCCCCATACCCCAAAGCACATCCCGACAGCATGAACACACACCCAGCTTGTGCTCAAGTCTGTTTATTTTAGAAGCATAAACAGCGGAACTGGGAAGGAGTGATGAGAACAAGACCCCAGTTTTTCTGACAGGGCCAGTTCCAGACCTCTGGCCTTCCCCCATCACCTCACCACCCCTGCCAGCACAGGCTGGGTCTATCTGCTTGATTAAGGCTGACCCAGCAGCCCTGGGTGTGGGGACCACCTGGGCTGAGGTGACTCTTCCACGAGGGTGGAAGTAGAGCCAGTGGTTTTGGGAACCCTCAGTACAGGGGGAACAGGCCAGAGGGCCCAGGAGCCCCCTTAGTGTAGCTAGCTCTGCCTGAGCTTGTCCCAAGCATGGCCTGGAGCCCAAGCCAGGGTGCCCTTCGGTCCCAGGATCTCAGAGCCAACCTTCTCTATAGAGTCTTTAAGGAAGCCGGCTTCCCAGGGCCCCCCTGTTGGATGAGGTAAGCCCCAGGCTCCTACACGTACTGCTTCTTGGAAGCAGAGCTGCTGGGGCGGCTGGGGAATTTCCCGCCACTCTGAGGCGGGGAGTCCAAGAAAAGAGGCGGCTTAGCAGAAGCCAGTCTCTCCTCCGTGCTCAGATTGGCCCAGTTCTGCTCGCTGGATGAGAGCCCATGGTAAGTGGGGCAGGGTGGGGACGAGGGCCCCTCGCCTATGGGGAGGTAGAAGAATGCCTGCTCATTGTAAGGGTCCGAGGAGGCGCTCTCGGCTGGCGGGGCCAACTGGTGCGGCCTCGCCTTCACCTTCAGGCGGACGCAGCGGCCCAGCAAGTACACCAGCTCCAGCAGGTTGAGCACCAGGGAGATGAGTCCGACCACCAGCATGAAGATGATGAAGATGGTCTTCTCCGTGGGGCGCGAGACGTAACAGTCCACGGGCTGAGGGCATGGGTCGCGATGGCACACGAACAAGGGATCCATCGTCCAGCCGTAGAGGCGCCACTGGCCGTAGAGGAACCCCGCCTCCAGCATACTCTTGAACAGCACGCTCGCCAGGTAGGTGCCCATGAGCGCACCCCGGATCTGTAGGCGCCCGTCCTCGGCCACAGAGATCTTGGCCATCTTATGCTCTATGGCGGCCAGGGCTCGCTCCACGTGGGGGTCCTTGGCCGGCAGCGCCTGCAGCTCTCCCTCCTTCTTCCGCAGCCGCTCTTCCCGCCGAGACAGGTAGATGACGTGACCCAGGTAGACCAGGGTGGGCGTGCTGACGAAGAGGAATTGCAGCACCCAGTAGCGGATGTGGGAGATGGGGAAGGCCAGGTCATAGCAGACGTTGGTGCAGCCCGGCTGGGCCGTGTTACACAGGAAGTCTGACTGCTCATCGCCCCACACCGACTCCCCTGCCAGGCCCAGGATGAGAATTCGGAAGATGAAGAGCACCGTCAGCCAGATCTTGCCCACCAAGGTCGAGTGCTCCTGGACCTGGTCCAGCAGCTTCTCCAGGAAGCCCCAGTCGCCCATTGCTCCAGGGTCTTAGTCTGCCGGGAGACAGGGAGCAGCCAGCGTTAGCGTTAGTGGGACCCAGCAACCAGCCTTCAGGGCCAGCTCATTCAGCCTACAGGAAACCAAAGTGCAGGCAGGGAGGGGCGGGCTGGCCTGGGGGCTGACTCTCAGACCCTAGTCAGGACCCAAAGCAGATTTGGGGGTGATGGGCTCTGAGCTCTTGGAGTCCTCTCCTGTGGCATGGCAGGGGTAGGTATGGTGGAGGTACCTGTCTGGCCACACCTGTGTCCTTTCCCTAGGCAGCCAGCCTCAGGATAAGCACCACCCAAGGGCCCTGGAGCAGGATGTCCGTGCCTTGGGGGAACTTATCCAGGGTGGCCAGTGATTAAGTTTTGGGCGGCTAATCGTCAGGTCACCAGTTGGAAACCACCAGCTGCCCCTGGGGAGGAAGGCAGGCTTTCTACTCCTGTAAAGAGCTACAGTCTTGGTGACTCAAGGGGACAGTTCTACCCTGTCCCATAGAGTCCCGATGCGTCAGCATGGACTTGATGGCAGTTAGTTTGGTTTGGGGTTTTAGCCAGGGTCCCACAGCTATGTCTGTCCTCTCTGTCTCGGCCCAAGGCCAGGGAGAAGTGGGTGTTGCTAGTGTCCTAGGGATGCCCCCACCCCGCTCTCATAGCTCAGTTGGCTCCATTCTAAATGTAGTTGGGGATGAGGTGGGAGGGGTCTTAGGTGTAGAAGGGACAGAGCTCCGTCAGCTCCAACTGTCAGCAATCATGACCATCACTGGCCCTACCCCTCCTCCAGTCACCCCCCTGCCCAAAGCTGTCACTGCCAAGTGTGAGATTCTTGGTGGGGGTAGGAGGGGGGGGTGACTGCCTTTGCCATCGAAGGCACCGGCCGCTGACTCCCCTCCCTGGGCCTGCGAGGATGGAATGGGAGGGGAAATGATTCCCACCCTGCTCACTCACTACTAGCCAACCTCTCAGAGCCGGGGTCTCCTCTCCTGGAAAACGGAAGCAATACTATGCCTACTTCTTAGAGTTGCTCTAAGGTCAAGCGGCAAGGAAAGGCGGTAGGAAATGCGCAGAGCCGGCCCGGAGGTCTGGCTCAGGAGCGCACCCCCAGTATCCCGACTCCTTAGACCCCGCCCGGCCCCGCCGTCGGCAGGTGCACCTAGCCCCCGGCCTTGCCCGCAGACTCACCGTCCGTGTGCCCAGCCGCCCGCCCCGGTGCGGGAGAGGATGCGCGCGATCGCCAGGCGCAGAGCCCGTGGGAGCCCTGCCGGCGGCGCCGGCGGCGGGACGCCTTAAATAGCGCCGAGGGGCGGGCTAGGGGCAGGAAGCGGCGGCCGCGGAGGGCTGCGGGACGCTGGAAAGATACACTGGAGGGGGCGGGCCGGGGCGGGGCGGACTCCGGGATCCGACTGTATATCTAGGAAGGGGTCTGGAGAGGGGGGCTTTGATAATTCCCCTTCCTTGCCCTCTGTTTCCAGTCGGCATTTCAGACGGTAAATGCTCAAGGTCCCAATTTAGAGAAGAGGTGTTTCCGGAAGGGTTACAGCCAGTGCTTGCTGATCGACCACTGATCAGAGCGGCATCGAGGGATGGACCGGGACCAGGGAGACGGGGGCCCTGGCATTCAGGGTCCCACATCTGTAGTGGGCTGCAAAGCGCGGAAGCACCAAACCCCAAAAGCCCAAACTCACTGCCGTGGAGTCATTTCTGACACATCGTGACGTTAAACGACAGAGTAGAGCTGCCCCTGTGAGTTTCCGGGTTATTTACAGGAGTAGAAAGTCTTGTCTTTTTCCCCCCGCGGAGCAGCAGGTCATTTCAAACTGCTAACCTTGCGGGCCGCACAGTGCGCTTTCACAGGAGCACAGGTGGTGTGTGTGAAGCGTCTGTGCTGAGCGCATTTCCTATCCCCTTTCTTTGAATCCTTCA